AGCAGTCACCTTGTCCGCAAGGTGTAAGGAGGGAAACTGTTGGTTGATTAAATCAAATGGCTCCCAAATTGCTTCCATCGGCGAAAGTCCTTTCCATTGAATTAATACTTCCATGTTCTTAGTTGTGCCTTGATTCTGAGGTCTGAATCCCAAAACCACTTCTGGCTCGACAAGCAATTCCCAGTCCTCACCTAGCTGAATGGGCAGTGGTGTTGCTATATGAGTGTCTCCCAAGACCTTCCTTAACTGCGAAACATGAAAGACCGGATGGATACAAGTGGTGGCTGGCAATGCAAGGCGGTATGCCACTTTTCCGACCCTTGGCATCACCTGGAAAGGATCGTAATATCGAGGTGCCAATTTCTCATTTGAACGGGTCACAAGAGACTTGCGCCTGTAAGGTCTCGTTTTCACATAAACCCAATCCCCTGCCACATATTCAACGTCCCGTCTCTTCGTATCCGCCATTCTTTTCATTTGTTGCCGTGCCTTGTGTAGATGTACCTTTAACTCTTCTAACATTTTATCACGCTCCAGTAGGTGCTGCTCAAGTGAAGAGATAGCTGTAACACCCCGTTCAAAACGAATTAATGGTGGAGGTTCGCGCCCATAAACGATACGGAAAGGGGTGAGGTGTGCAGAGACATGGTAGGAAGTATTATAAGAGTATTCCGCCCATGGTAGGAACTGGTACCACTACTTCGGTTTAGCTGATGCAAAACATCTCAGGTATGTTTCTAGACCTCTGTTTACCACCTCGGATTGGCCATCAGATTGTGGATGGTATGCCGAACTGTACTTTAAGGTCGTCAACTTGACCACCTCTCGTGTGAATATTGCAGCAATTGCTGGGGCCGAAAAGAGGTGCTTCAAACCGATGAAATGAGCGTACTTGCTCAGGCGGTCAACCACTACTAGTATAGAATCAAACCGTTCCGATCGAGGTAGCCCTTCTGTAAAATCCATCGATACATCTTCCCAAACTTGGTTGGGAATGGGTAGTGGTTAGAGTAACTCGGCCGGAGCAAGAGTAGAATATTTGTGTTGCTGGCAAGTTGCACATTCAGCTACATACAATTGGATATCCTTCCTCATGCCTTTCCAGAAAAAAGTTTGAGCCACCCTTTTATAAGTTTTGAGAAAACCCCCATGACCTCCTACCTTGCTGTTATGCCCTTCCTGCAAAGCAATCTGCACAAAAGGAGAGTCCTTTGGAAGCACCAACCTATCATGGAATAGCAGTAAATCACGAAGTAGTGAATAACATGGGAAAACTGTCTGTCCCTTGCGCAATGAGTCAACTATAACACCCAATTCAGCATCCTCTTCCATCGCTTTCTTAAGAATCCCGAGTTCTAGGGCACTAGGGGCGCTTAATATCATTACAGTTACCGTTGCATCTATCCTGGAGAGTGCATCAGCTGCTCTATTCTCTCGACCCGCCTTGTACTCAATGTCGAAGTCAAACCCCAACAGTTTGGTCAGCCATTTTTGATATTTTTGATTTACTTCCCGTTGTTCCTGTAAAAATTTCAAGCTGCGTTGGTCAGTGCGCACCACAAACCTTGGACCTAACAAATAGTGCTTCCATTTTTGTATTGCCAGTACAATAGCTATGAGTTCCCTCTCATAAATTAACTTCCCTCGTGTCCGTGGTGGAAGAACCTGACTGAATTTCCTGTCTTGCATTAGAATTGCGCCTATTCCATACCCCGAGGCATCGGTTTCCACAATGAATGGCTTTGTAAAATTGGGCAAACCCAAAACTGGCACCGTCGTCATGGCATCCTTCAGTTTCAAGAAGGCAGTCTCTGCGTCTTCGTTCTACCCAAAATTGTCTTTCTTAAGTAGCTGCGTTAAGGGCTAGGCAATGCTCCCATATGATTTGACGAACCGACGGTAGTACCCGGTCAGTCCAAGGAATCCTCTCAACTCTTTGAGAGACTTAGGTCTGGGCCATTGTTTCATTGCTGCCACTTTCGACTCATCGGCCGAGACTCCTCTTGCCGAAATAATATGCCCCAAATATTCCAATTCTTGCTGTCTAAACAAGCATTTCTTCTTGTTGGCGTATAACTGATTGTCTACTAACACTTGTAATACAGCCCTCAAATGATCCCTGTTGCTGTGGCTGTAGACTAGTATGTCATCAAAAAACACCAAAACAAACTTTCGGAGATAGCCTCTAAAAATCTCATTCATAAGTGATTGAAAAGTTGCTGGCCCGTTTTTTAAACCGAAAGGCATGACAAGAAACTCATAATGTCCTTCATGAGTTCGGAAGGCGGTTTTCGGAACATCTTCCGGTCGTACCCTTATTTGATGGTACCCGGACTTCAAATCAATTTTTGAAAACGTTGTAGCGCCATTGAGCTTGTCTAGCAATTCATCGATCACTGGAATTGGAAACTTGTTGGCAACTGTGACTTTGTTCAAGGCCCGATAATCAACACAGAATCTCCAACTTCCGTCCTTCTTCTTCACCAACAAAATCGGGCTTGAGAAGGGGCTAATGCTTTGTTGAATAAACCTTGCTGCAATCATCTCACGAACCGATCTCTCTATCTCCTTCTTTTGGAAATGGGGATATCGATATGGCTTTATGCTGATCAGGGCCGTTCCTGGCTGAAGGTTGATGGCATGGTCATGCCTCCTTGCAGGTGGCATGCAGTTCGGCATCTCAAAGACAGACGCAAACTCCTCCAAAACGTTTGAAACCATGATTGGGGGTTGCAGGCGTTGACATTCGGTCTGGACCTCGATGTTCCCCAATTCTAGCAGCACACCTCCTCCTTGTGCCTTGAGTGCCTTCATCATTGTTTTCATAGATATAGACCCTCTACTCAAGCTAGGATCACCCTTCAGTGTGATCATCATCCCTGAAACCGTGAAAGTCAAAGTAAGGTTCTACCAATTAACCTGCATATCGCCGAGCTTACGCAGCCACTGCATACCCAAAATGACATCGGAGCTTCCCAGTTCCAAAGGCAGGAAATCCTCTTCCAAAGTTACATTCTGCAATTGCAATTTCACCATTCGACAGACCCTTCCTCGTCCCCATGACTACTCCGTACCCCATGGTACTGGACAGTGGAAGGCCCAGTTGTCTGACCACTTCCACAGCGATGAAATTATGTGAAGCCCCGCAATCAATGAGAACTATAACTTCCTTTTGCCCAATTACCCCTCTCAATTTCATTGTTTCCGGTGCCGTGAGATCCACCACAGAATTGATGGATAGCTCGATCGAGGACCCAGCCGCCGTTACATCCTCGGCGTCGCCATCGAAGAACTCGCCGGCCTCGGTAGGTTGCTCGCCGACCAGTTCACCAGCTTGGCCCATCTCCTTCTCTCTTCCACGGTCTTCCTTTTCATTTTCCCGAATCACCATCACTTGGAGTTCCCGGTTTTTACATTGATGCCCAATAGTGAATCTCTCATCACATTTGTAGTATAAACCCCTTTCCTTCTTCCTTTGCAACTTTGCATCTGTAAGCCGTTTGAAGGGGATGATGGGTTTTGACGGAGGAACCATTCGATTGGGAACAATACTTACAGGCACCGTAGATTTCTGGAATGGAACCGGATTGTGGGCTGCTCTAGGACTTGGGGTAGCTAAAGGACTTTTTAATCTTGCTGGGCTAAAGGTAAATGTGCCGTGCTGCACCATCTGATTTCTCTCTTCAACTCTTTATGCCACATCCATTATTTGTTCAAGACCCATTGGATTGAGTAGCTGGACCTCAGCCTTGATGTTTGGAGAGAGTCCATTAATGAAATTACATTCTAGTATCTCCTCCGATACATTCTGCAAAGGTGAAGCCAGCCTTTCAAATTGCCGACGGTATTCCTGGACGGTGGTTGTCTGTTGGAGAGCTAAAAATTGGGCACATAGTGACTTCTCTTGAGATGGCCGGAATCTGCGCAGCAAATACCTCTTCAATTCCTCCCAATTTTTCATGGGTTGGCGGCGCTTCGCCCTCTGGTACCACGCCAGGGCATCGCCCTCTAAGCATACTACCGCAGCTTCCCATTTCTCCTCTTCTGTCAATCGGTTAATGTTGAAATAGCGCTCCACCCGAAAAATCCACCCATTGGGATCGTACCCATAAAAAACTGGCATGTCCAGCCGCCTGACTCACGACTCGGATTCCTCCAATTGTTGAAGCTACCACCGCCATTTCCACTTCCTCCGGTACTGATTTGATCTCTCCCCAACCCCGGTGATGGTTCTGGTGCTTTTGAGGTTGCCTCTCCCTTCTCTTTCCTGTTTCTCTCCTGCACCTCCCAAGTTCGCAGCAGTACGTCGAGCTTAGCCATTAATTCCGCCGTCATGGCTTCCATTCCTGACTGTAAGGAAGCGTGGTTGTTTGCTACCTGCTGCTCTAGTGCTCCCACTCGATCGTTGAGAGTCATGATTATAGGATGGATCTGTTGCTCTAATATCAATTTGATAGGAATAGATGAAAGAACTGATGAATTTTATAACTGAAAGTAATACAGAAAATGAGAAATGCACTACACGGATGACCACTCTTTTCTCACTACATGTATTCTACCCATTTTCCCCCCAGCTCATTTATTTATAGCCCTTCCCGTAACTAACTTTAACAAAAATAGCTAACAACCCTTAACAGAATCTGTAAATAACTAAGGCCCTGCTGTCATATGGTTGATCCCCTCTAGTGCCTTCTTGCGTCTGCTATAGGTGAATTTAACTCGGGGCTTATCACTATACTTCAGTACTAGCCTGGGCTCTAGGGAACAGCTCAATACAGTTGTGCTTGGGTATGTGCCTAAAATCTGATTTAAAAAACTATGGAGTATTATGGCAAAAGAGGGGTTTACTTTGGAGGAGCTATGGGCTACCTGCCCCCCAAGTTTCATGATCTTTTTTTTGCATGGTTGGATTTTCCGAGATGGACTTCTTTTTGCCTTCTGTTCAGCTTTCACCTTTCTTCTTTTTCTTTGTTTCTTTTACTTTCCAGTTTTGCCCTACCTTGTCTTTCTGTAAAAATTTTTATTCACTTTTTGTTTTTGGATTACATCCTTGGTCAAAGATGCCTTGTGTGCAAGAAAAAGATATGAATATATTTCATTAGTGTGCCAGCACCTGAGGAAAATATCAGGGTAAAAAGCTGCATGGAATCCAATTCCCTCTATATATAACCAGTGTTAACTTTCTCAAGGCCCAAAGACCATGCACCTATATCATTGATAGTTCAAAATTGCTGATTTTACTTATCCGATTGTATAAGGACCTTTGTAAACAGTTATCTATCTTAAAATGAAGGCACGACTTACATGATTTTATTTCTATCGACGACATCATTGAGTTCAAGTGGTCACAATGGTATCAAATGTAATTTATGCTGGATGGGAAATCACGATGCCACATTTCATTTAATTTCAGATNATTTACTGAACAAACCTTGTGTTCATGTTCGTTAATTGTTTGTGAACAAACTAGCTTGTCACTAATGGCTTGGATTTGAAGTCAAAGAGTATAGATATATCAACTTTTTAAGGATAGAATTATAAATCACGATTTAATTTCTAAAATATCACTAGAAGTTGTAACCTACTGGAGATGCATAATGAATTAGGGGAAATTAACAAAATCCAGTAGTAGAAATTTTTTTTTTTTTGATATCTTTAAAATCTGTTCTTGTGGACAAAAAAACACTTGAACGAGCTTGTTCAACTTGTTCATGAAATGATTCTAGATATACAAACATGAATGAGCCTAAATGAGATGAATGCTGAGTTGGTCATGAACGGATCATTTCATTTGCATTAATAGTATCGTTCATATGGTTGTCTGTTATTGTTGAGTCTGAGGCTATATTTCATGTGGAAGCCACTGATGGATTTTTGAACTCTATAATCTGTCACCACAGAAATCAAATTTGCTTCTCATTTACCCTGTTTTTTTTTTTTTTTTTTTTTTGGTAAGTAAATAAAATTAACAAGATAATAAACAGGACCTTTTCACTAACTCAATTTACATGTATAATATTGCGTTTCTATCTCACTTTCCCAAGCACATTTTCTTTGGTTTCCTGTATATGAGCTCATGTTTCAACTCCCCCATTTTTATTTTGTTGTTATTTCTGGATGAGCTCCTCTCTGTATAATCTTTAGATGTACCATATTGCATAGTTGGTGTGCCTATACCGGGGCTGTCTCTAGGAATTTGTTGGGGTAGGGAAGGTTGTAAGTGGTCACATACGTTGCCAGGTGGCCTGTTGTGTATCTGACCCATACATGTCCATTAGGATCACCTGTCCAAATTAATGGTTTAGACCACCACATGCCACGTCACTTTTTTCTTTTGAGTTCTTAAGTCTTGAATGTTCATAATCATTTGAGTGCCCACTTTGAAATAAACTTTTGCTTAATGTCTTTAAACAGTTATCAGCTCATTACCTGAAGGAAAAGAATTCATATTTGGAATTTGCAATATCTATGTCCGAAGATGTTGGTGGGATTGATGGGAATGTGGAATCTGTGGTAGCTTCTGTTTACGTTGGTCAGTTTGCCAGATTACTTGAGCATGAGGGCACTTACGCAATGCAAGCGTGAGTTTCACTAGGCCAAATTATCTCGCTTTCCATTTATTGCGGTGTTTTCTTACCTTAAAATTTCCCAATAAAATTTTCCATTTTCTGTCATAGTATTTATTATTATTATTATTATTATTATTATTATTATTATTATTATTAATTTTTTTAAATTTTGTTTCAGCTTAACTGATGATGAATATGTCCGTTATACTCTTGCTGAAGGGAAGAGGTTCCAGGACTCTTTTGAAATTATTGCTCTCCTTAAAAGATCTTTTGAAGCATACAATAACTTAAAGGCTACAAGGATGGCTTCCTATTGTGGAGTCCAGATGGGCAGAGAATACTTTGTAATGGGCGAATTTAGTAATGCAAAGCAGGTCTTTGAAAATATTGCTAGTCTTTATCGTCAAGAGGGATGGGTTACTTTGTTGTGGGAGGTATTAGGTTATCTACGAGAGTGCTCTGTGGGAATTAGTTCAGTGAAAGACTTCATAGAGTACTCACTTGAAATGGCTGCAATGCCAATAATGACTAATAATGCTGCTCCGTCTTTTAGAGACTGTTGTCCAGCTGGGCCTCCAAGTCTTTCACAGAGAGAACAGATACACAAGAAAGCATTTGGGCTCGTCACAGGAGAATCAGGAACTGCACCGAGTGAGAACAATGGCCTCAAAGTAAATGGTGATTGTCCTCTTTATCTTGAGATTGATCTTGTCAGTCCCCTAAGAGTGGTACTTCTTGCATCAGTTGCTTTTCATGAACAAATCGTTAAGCCGGGTGCTCGAACAATGATCACAATATCTCTTCGGTCACAATTGCCACTGAATGTTGAGATAGATCAGTTGGAGGTGCAATTCAATCAATCAGAGTGTAATTTTATTATCACAAGTGATCAGAAGCCACGCTTAGCTGCAATCTCTCATGTGCATCCTGATCGTCGAGTGGAGACAGCTCCTACTCTGGAACTCCCTACAAGCAAATGGCTGCGATTGACATATGACATAAAACCTGGTATGCTGGTAACACAATTTTTTTAAATGGTTGTGTATATTAGAAAACGTAATGCTGGTTTGACATTGTGCTCTTAATGTATCACATGAAGCATAGTTACTAAACATGACCAATAAACCAGGTTAACCAGTACTGAACTGGGATGGGTTTGAAGTTAGAATTTCTTCTTGTCACTTTGTCAGTTTTCCCTGTCAACTTGGGATTTGAATAGTTGGACCCGAAACTAACTCATCCACCTGCTCTGAAGGCAGGCTGAGTCTAGTGGGTCTGATGACATGTTTGGTTAAGCTTAAAAAGTTTACTTCTAACTAAGAATTAAGTTTGAAGATGAGTGATTTTGTATTGATCATAATTGAATATAAGTTACTTAATTTGATATCAACAGTTACTTTGGAAAAAAACAACTTTTTTTACTTGAAAGTAAGAAAAGCGAGTCATCGTTACATTCTCCATGAGACATTTATGTCAGATATATATAGTCATAGGAGCTTTAACTTTCATATCTAGGTCTGAAATAGGAGAAGTATGACATGCGACTGTCTGGAACCAAAATTAGATTTGCATCTTACGAGGTCTGAATTAGTTGGTAAATATTAATATTGCTGTATTTTAGTTTTTCCATATGTGGCTTCCTGGAAGTTGTATCGTACAACTTTGGATGCAAAATGTAACTGTCTCTGCTCCCTTTAAAAGTTTGGTGTTAATTAATCAGCTTGAGTTTAAGTGATGATTTCAAACCCTTACAAGGATTACATTTGTTTTATTCTTCCAAAACAATTGATATATTGTTCATGCATTTTGAGCTGGTTACTTCTTGGTCTTCTTGCATCCTGCGGGCCTGAGTAATTGTATCCCTATCTCATCCAATAACGGATGAAACATTACTTATTCAGATTACTTTCTGTCTTCTTATGCCTGGAGTTGTGATATTTCCAACTATAATAAGTTGCTTGATTTATTTCACCTTTCATTGTCTCTTCTTTTACAGTGGACAGATGGTGTTCTGTAAACAGTGTGAAATAATATAATCTGTAGGATAGGATGATTAGATCACGAAATTAGTTCCTGATTTCTAGGGATTACTTTCTAATTTTATCAATATCTTCTTTGTTTCTTTTTTTTTTTTTTGAATAAAGAGATAAGAATTTATCCAAAATCTCCGCTTTCAGTTCATATTTATCCCTTAAATTAAGGGATTATCTGTTACTAGAAGTATCGAATTCAAGATTTGTTGTCATGCTTCTCTTTATATTCTAGCGTTTTCCATTAGTCCAATAATAAGAAGAATTGAGATTATTTCTTCTAAACTTATATGGTATCCCAACTTGGCTCTTAATCCGATTCTTAAATGGTCAAAATGACCATGACTGGGCTAGAAGAACCATAGATTTTTCTGAAGCAACCACAGAGAGTCCCACTTCAGGGAGTGCATGACGAACAGTGGAGCAGACCATTTTTCCCAGAACGGTTCATTCCAGTTAATCTCTCACAAATTAAATGGAAAAAACTACCTGGAATAGGGTCAATATATGAAGTTGGTGATTAACAGCATGGGAAAACTCGGACATTTGACTGGCAAAGTACAGAGACCAGCAAATACATATCCTAATCTATGCACAAGGGGGTCAGAAAACTCATTCATAATTGTGTGGCTTATCAACTCGATGGAGCAAACCGTAGGTAAAACCTACCTCTTTCTACCCACTGCAGAAGATGTGTAGGAGGTAGTACGAGAAACCTATTCCGATTTAGAAAACTCATCTTAAATATTTTATTTGAAAAGAAAACTATGGGGCAAACGTGTGAAGTCACTGTATACTTTGATGAGATGGTTTTATTGTGCTAGAATTTTATCAATGTTATAACGATGAGTGGGATTGTCCGATCGGTAATGCGAAGATTATGAAGATGGAAGAGAATGATAGTGTATTTGTTTTTGACGGGGCTCAATTGTGAGTTGGATGAAATCAGGGCTCGAATTCTTAAAAAAAACCTTTGTCAGCCCTTTACAGGGGTGTTAATTTGGCTCGTTGACTTCAGCCGCCCAGTGGCTCGACCTGAAAAAAGCCTGAGCCAGCCTGGCTCGAGGCTTGGGCTAAGCCCCATTTTGAGGCGTTGGCCAGAGCCCAAGCCAGCTTGTGTGGCTCGGACCTTTTTTAGCCCGTGACGAGCGGACCCTAAAAAAATGAATTGAAATAAAAAAAGGCAAAAGCTGCATGTTTTTTATTTAAAAAAAAAAACACAGGCCGAACTCGATGAGCTCGGGTTGAACCTAAATTTTTTGGCTGTGCAAATGCTCTGCTCAACTCGGGCCAAAAAAAAATTTGAACCATTTTTACTTGAGCCGAGCTCGAGCCTCAAGTTTTGGCTTGACTCGTTGACATCCTATCCCTTCATGAGGCATTTTATGAGATTAGAAAAGAAGAAACTAGGAGGAAGATTATGTTAAAAAAATCATGCCCGTGACAGAAATTGAGAACTCAGCCCCTGTTTCAAGAAGCATTGAATGCAAAGGTGAAAGCTGGAAGAGACCATGGTGTAATCACTGCATGAAGCCACAACACTCAAAGGAAACACGTTGGAAGATTTATGGAAAACCTCTAAATTGGAAGAAGAAACCAGGGAGTGGAAACCAAGCATTTCAAGCCTCGCATGAGGAGAACCCGGACAATAAGTCTTCATTCACTATGGAACAACTAGAACACTTGTACAAACTTTTCCAATCTCCACAATTCGTAGGAAATCCCTCTTGTTCTTTAGCTCAGAAACACAACTTTATTATTGCTTTCATTTGTGTCAATTCTAGTCAAACCAACTCTCGGATTATAGACTCCGGAGCAATTAATCATATGACAGGTTCCTCTAATCTTTTCTCAACTTACAATTCTTGTGCAAGGACCAAAAGTAGATAAATAAATAAAGATTGCCAATAGTTGTCTCAACAATAGTTGGGATAGGACCCAGTGTTTTATCTCCTTCCTTAACTCTGCATAATGTCCTTCATCGGCCTAAATTGTTTTATAATTTTTGACAATCAAAAAGTTAGCTAATGGTCTCAAGTGTTGAGCTCATTTCTATCCCTCTCTGTGTAAGTTTCAGGAACAGGTCTTGGGGATGACGATTGATAGTGCTAGAAAAAAAAGTGATGGTCTTTATTTCTTCGAAGATGGAATTCGGGCATCCAAACTTTCATTATTTAAAACGCTTGGTTCCTGGATTGTTTAAAATTAAAAGTCCGTCTTCATTTCTGAGTGAGATTTGGGAATTAGCCAAACGCCACAGTTCATTTTTCCCTTTAAAACCATACCAATCATCAAAACCATTTCCATTAATCCAAGCAATGTATGGGGACAATCTAGGGTTTCAACTATTTCCGGTAAAAATGGTTTGTTAGCTTCATTGATAATCCCAGGAGGGTAAGTTGAGTATATTTGCTAAAAGTCCGAAGTAGAAGAGGTTTTCAATAAATTTTACCCCATGGGGGAAACCTAGTTTCAAGAAAAATAATAAATTTTAGGAGTGACAATGATAGAATATTTTAACAAAATCTCAGGTAATTTTTTTATAAAAGGTATGGTGCATCAAAGTTCTTGCGATTACACGCCTCTAAATACAAAGGGATACAAATGTTGCGGTCTCATTTCCAAAAAATTATGTTACATTTTTTGAGTTTAAACCATTTTTTGAAAATATCTTCAGGGATAGGCACATATTGAAGATTCAGGATCCTGAGATGTCTTTAAACTAGAAAACACCACATCAACTTTTGATGAACCTATTTTATCATAAATACAACTAGTATTTTAACTAATGTAAACCCATGTCCAGATTCTATACAGCCATTCCATAATCTTGATAGAACCAGCAATGGAAAACATCGAGTACCAAAGTGCTTGTTTAATCATAAAGGAAATAAATTTGAAGCAATGAGACCAATGCCCTTAGTAGCGTCAAGACTCCAAACCCATAGCTGATCAAAGCACCACTGAATCTCCTGGTAACTTTCATACCAAAGCTATCTAAGCTAATTTTCCTAATTCCAAGTCTGTTCAATCTGAGTCTAGCTTTGTAGAACTTAGGGTGTGTTTGATTACATTTATTTTCCATGGAAAATATTAGTTTTCCACCTAAATTTCTACTTGGAGTGTTTGATTGCTATTTTTTTCCATGGAAAACATTTTCCAACTTTTGAAAATATGCCTAATTTTCCTTATTTTTAAGGAAAATATTTTCCTTGAGTAGAGGTGGTTTTTATTTTTCACAAAAGATGGAAAACATTTTCTTTTCTAGATAATATTTTCCATGTCAATCAAACACACTCTTAATGTCCCCATTGCTAACCGAAAGGGTGTTAGAACTTGTGCCAAAACACCCCAATGGCAAATTTTATTTCTTACAGAAAGTTTTCACCTACCTTCTCTGTTTTACTTCACGATTCTCTCATAGGATGCTCTTGAAGGAGGCTATTCATGAAGAGATGAAAGCCTTCAGAAAAATAAAACATGGGAGGTAATGCATCTGCTAAGAGAGAAGTAAACAGTTGGATGCAAATGCGTATTCACTACCAAATACAAGTAAGATGGATCACTTGAGCAATAAAAGCTAGAAAGAAGTTTACATGGATCTTCCACAGGCTTTGATAAGGAGTTTGGACCGAAAGTATGCAAATTGAAAAAATCTCTATACAGATTAAAACAGTCGTCGAGCTTGGTTCAAGAGGTTCACTCAATTAGTAAAAATCAAGGATACATTCAAGGACAAATTGATTGCACCGTGTTCACTAAGCACTAAACAAATGAGAAGATGGAGATTCTCATAGTACAAAGTGGACGATATTGTTATGACTGGGGATGACACAGCTTATATGGAGCCATTGAAAAGGTATATTGCATCTGAGTTTAAATTGAAGACTTGGGATCATTAGGATATTTTCTTGGTATGGAGGTAGCTCGATCAAAGAAAGGAATTGCAATTTCAGGAAGGAAATCTGTCACTGACCTACTCAACGAAACGGGAACAAGTGGTCGTCATCCTATCGAGACTCCAATTGATCCAAATCAGAAGCTTAAGATGACAAAGGTGATCAAGGGGATCCATCAAGGTGCAAAAACTAGTTGGAAAGCTAATTTACTTATCACACACATGACCTAATGCTGCATTTGTAGGGAGCCTTGCAAGTCAGTTCATGCATTCTTCTCCTGAAGAGCACCTTAAAGCCGTGTATTGAATTCTATGTTTTTTGAAGAACTTGTTAAGGAAAGGCTTATTCTTCAAGAAGAATGAACAACGCAGCATCGAGGCATATACAAACGTAGATTTGGCAGGCTCAGTCACTTATAGAAAAATCTGCATGTTATTGTACTTTTGTGTGAGGGAACTCAGTGACTTGAAGAAGAAAGAAATAAAGTCTGGTTGCTCAAAATAGTGCAGAAGCATAATACAGATCAATGGCTCATGGACTTTGCAAGATGATGTGGCTGAAAAGAGTTTTGGAATAACTAAAGAGACCCTTGACCATGCCTATGAAGTTGTTCGCAACAACAAGGCAGCCATTAGCATTGCACACAATCTAGTTCAACACGACACAACATTTTGAGATCGATAGGCACTCTATAAAGGAGAAGCTTGAAGCTAGAGCTATGTGTATGCCATCTGTTCCAAAATCACAACAGATAGCTGAAATTCTTACGAAGGGACCCGTTCAAACCTAACTACGACTTTCTCATCAGCAAGCTGGGCTTGATAGACATGTGCACCAACTTGAGGGGGAGTGTTGGATAGTCAGGATAATTAGATAACGAAATTAGTTCCTGATTTCTAGGTATTAGTTTCTAGTTTTATTATTATCTTGTCTTCTGTATTTTAAAAAAATATATAAGGAAGAACGTATCGATCTTCATTATTATTCAGTTCATATTTATCCCTTAAATTAAGGGATTATTTGCTACTAGAATTATTATTCAGTTCATATTTATCCCTTAAGGGATTATCTGTTACTAGAATAATGTTATTCAATGACAGATTTGTTGTAATGTTTCTCCATATATTCTAGCATTTTCCATTAGTTAAATAATAAGAGTTGAGATGATTTCTTCTAAACTTATACAATCATTAATGATGCAGATCAAAGTGGAAAGCTGGAATGTATATATGTAATTGCAAGAATTGGACCCAACTTTACCATATGTTGCAGAGCTGAAAGTCCTGCCTCGATGAATGATTTACCATTGTGGAATTTTGAAGACATGACTGAAACTATTCCTACTAAGGATCCAGGTCTAGCATTTTCTGGTCAGAAGGCCATACAGGTTGAAGAATCGGAACCACAAGTGGATCTAAAACTGGATTCATCTGGCCCTGCATTAGTTGGAGAGAGCTTTATTTTACCCGTGACGGTTGCCTCTAAAGGCCATGCAATCCACTCTGGTGAGTTAAAGATTAATCTGGTAGATACAAAAGGTGGTGGTTTGCTTAGTCCAAGAGAAGTTGAGCCATTCTTGGCCGACAATTTACACGTTGAACTTGTTGGTATATCTGGGCAAGAACGTGCGGATCATTCTGAAGTTAATATTGATAACATTCAGAAAATCCAGCCATCTTTTGGACTGATTTCTGTCCCGTTTCTAAATGTGGGGGACTCCTGGTCCTGCAAACTGAAAATTAAATGGAATCGTCCCAAACCCATCATGGTTTATGTCTCGTTAGGTTACCATCACAGCAGCGAACCTAGTTCTCAGAAAGTTCATGTACACAAAAGCTTGCAGATCGAAGGTAAGACTGCTGTTACTATTAGCCATCATTATATGCTTCCATTTCGACAGGATTCTCTTTTGCTGTCAAACATCAAAGCAAAACACGATTCTGACCATACACCATCACTGGCTTTCAATGAAACAAGTATTCTTATAATTAGTGCAAAGAATTGTTCAGAAGTGCCACTGCGGTTGTTGTCAATGTCTTTTGATTTGGAGGATGATGATTCATTAATCATACAGCCTAAGGAGGAGAAATTTAGAGAACCCATTCTTCATGTGCCCGGAGAAGACTTTAAAAAGGTTTTTGCTGTCATTCCGACGGGAAATTGTTCAACACTAAAGACCGGGGCAGTTAGTCTGGAATGGCAGAGGGATTCTGGGTTAGGAGAAGGTTTTTATTCTTGCTCTGCTTCTTCTCAAGTTACAAAACACAGGCTTCCTGATGTCAATGTTGAGCTACCTCCATTGGTTGTCAGGTTAAAATGTCCCCCTCATGCCATTGTAGGGCGTCCATTCACATATTCTGTTACCATTCAAAATCAAACCGAGTTGCTCCAGGAAATCAAGTATTCGTTGGCCGATTCACAAAGTTTTGTGTCGTCTGGGCCTCACAATGACACGACTTTTGTCCTACCAAAATCAGAGCACGTTATCAGCTACATGCTTGTCCCTTTGGGCTTAGGTTCTCAACAGCTTCCTAAAGTTACCTTGACTTCAGTGAGATACAAAGCTGGTTTTCAGCCCTCAACTACATCATCTACTGTCTTCATCTTCCCCTCAGAACCTCCTTTTCAGGTCACTGACATTGGAGAAACAAGATTTGAGTCCGTTACCCAGTAGTGTTTTTGGTAAGAAAATTGTGTTATGGTATAGTACATCTTATCTTCTGACAAGCAAGAAATATTACTGATTGATCGGCTCGATCTACCGTTTGAAAGTACAGTGAACACAATGTTGACTGTGAATCAGAATTCTATTCTGCCATGCTTTTCAATCACAGCCTCTACGTGGAGAGAGAGCGTTGAAATTCTGACACTCGGGCATAATTGTTGTATACATGCCAAAGCGGAAACTGTTGGAAACTGAAGATATGCGAGTGAAATTTTTTTGTAAGAAAATCTGTTTTGGATAAATTATGAAGTCGAAGTTCTTTCATATTCTTGGTTGGGAAGCCAAATAATGCATATCTGTATATGCAATGTGATGATTTAAAAGACCAAGCAGCATGGGTATCCTCTTCTTAATTCTCTTCATTGGGAAATTCTGCCAGTTTTGTTCTCTCGGAACTCCTCTTCTTATTCTGGATTCAGAATGCTAAATGTTTGGTAAATTTTATTTTTTTAGATTGTAAGAAATGTGAGGATAAAAAAGTGGATAAGAACAGTTGATCCTACTGAATGTATGCATAAATATGATAGTTGAAAAAGAACTGCCGTGAACAAAAGAATAACCATGTTTTACTATAATGTTTGGTGTATAGTGTTTTTGACAACATTGTTGATAACATTTCACGTGCCTTGTTGTCATTGGACGATTTAAAAAACAATCTCTCTTTTCATCCGATACTTTTTTGTCACCTGCTAACATTGTTAACAATGTTGTGAGAAATACAAATGACAATTCCCTATTTTTTTTTAATTTAGAAACTTCCCTATTTTTAACTCTTTTTATTCAACTTTTCAATTTTTATTTCTTCCGTTTCATTTTTCGATAACTTTAGAATTCAATCACATATTTCATTCTCATCTTCGCATTCAAGTCTTCTAACATAAGTCTTTTATTTATATTACATGATAAAACCTTTGAAAAGATTAAAACAATTTGGGAATTAATTGCTAAGATTTTTTTAGGGCCTAAAAATTTATGTTTATAGATGGAAAACATTTGAATAATCTTTTAATGGATCTTCTCACGTCTTTCACAAACTCATGCTGCGTGTAGTAGCCTATATTGACACAACTCTAATAGCTTTGACTTCGTGGAGCATTTTGTTATTTATGAAAGTAATAATGCAACCAATCCAAGGCGTCTTTATATAGAATATTTAAATAATTAACTAGTCTAGTGGAAGTTTGAATAGTCTTTGATAAAGTCAATATTATTGGGGAAAAAAACAGTTTTTTGCAAGTCACTAGATTATTTAGTTTGGGATTGCAATATAAATGAAGGCAAATTTTTGTAAATAGCAAAAATATTTACCAAAATTGTCTTGAACTCGAAAAGCT